ATTGTATGTGCTCATGTGCCCCATTTCAGAAATTGACTGAATTTGAGAACAGGACTGGTATAGTTTTTAAACATATAAGACTGCTTGCCCGAGCGTTCACTGATCGTAGTGTAGGCTACACTCACCTTACCCTGTATGTATATTCTGGTACTTTTCCTGGTTCTGACTATGTCTTAAATCTAATCTAATAATGTACATACATCTCTAATTATATTTTGATTCTCAGAGGATCTAATCAACGGTTAGAATTTCTGGGTGATACTGTCCTGCAGATCATAGCATCTGAATATCTGTACAAATTTTTCCCTGAACATCATGAGGGACATCTTTCGGTTAGTAACAAGCCATAAGAAATTGAATTTTAATTTTGGGTCAACAAACAAAAGTTTAAAGTATGTTTTATTATTGGTCTACTTTTAGCTTTTAAGAAGTTCATTAGTCAACAATCGAACTCAAGCAGTTGTCTGTGATGATTTGAGTATGACCGAGTTTGCACTCTATGCTAATCCTAAGCATGACATTAAAACAAAAGATAGAGCAGATTTGTTGGAAGCATATCTTGGTGCACTTTACATCGACAAGGTCAGTTGATTCAATCTACCGTTACCCATTCATATTTCTGTTGTACCTCTTACAACTTTTATGTCTGGTTTAGGGCTTGAAGCACTGTCATCTATTCTGTGAGGTTTGCTTCTTCCCAAGATTGCAAGACTTTATTATGAATCAAGATTGGAACGATCCAAAATCTAAACTGCAACAGTGCTGTCTCACATTACGAACAATGGAAGGAGGGGAACCTGACATCCCTGTTTACAAGTAAGATTTTTAAAAATCTGCTGTACCTGAATTCCACCTCTGGAATCCATTAATCAATCTTTTACCATTTTTATCGGAAATGCTCTAAAAAAAAATTCTCCCTTCTTTTTCTTTTCTTTTTTTTTTCCCTCATCAGGGTTATTCAATGCATGGGACCTACTAATACACGCATCTACACTGTTGCTGTATATTTTCGTGGAGAGCGATTGGCTCAGGCATCTGGCCATAGTATTCAGCAAGCAGAAATGAATGCTGCTAATGAAGCACTTGAACTTTCCACAGGTTGGTTAACATATTTATGGTTGAATACGTTGAATACCGCGCTTATCATGATTTTTACTATACATTCTGGCTTTGTTTGCAGAGCTGTTCCCTCAGCTAGACCATCAGAGACGAGTTATTGCCAAAAGCATGAAAAAGCAAAAGAAGAGGGCACGGAGGGAAGCTCAGTTGAAAGCATCAAGAGACTTTGATAAGAAAACAGCATCGGATGACAGAAATAAATCAAGAGACAAGTACTACCGGAACCAGGACCATCGTGATCGCAGGAATAGACACAGAGATGATGATAGAGAAAGAGATCGGAAAAGAGAAAGGGAAAGAGAAAGGGACAGGAACAAAGACAGAGATCGAGAAAGAGACAGGGAATGGGAAAGGAGTAAAGGAAAAGATCGTTTGAAAGATAGACCTAGGGATAGAGATGATAATAGACCAAGAGACAGGGAAAGGGATAGAGATATCAGAGCAAGTGGAGGTCAAGACAGTAAAAGTAAAAGAAGAGACTCTAGAGAAAGGAGCAAAGATGGACAACATGTTAAAGATAAGGATTGGGAGAGAAAGAAAGACAAAATTCTTGAAGCCTTAAGTATTTCGGATAGGAGTGAAAGTAAAAGCGAAGTCTTGTTGAATGACTTGGAGAGTACAGGCAAACATAATATTCAAAAGATTGAAAATTTAAGAGAGTTCTCATACCAAGACGTCCGCACAGGAAAGGAAAGATGGTCTAAGTATGCAGATGAAGAGTCATCAAGAAATCTTCAGCTTCACAAAGATTTTAATAATTATCCATGGAATACCAAAAGCCCCACAAGCAGCAGAAGCTCTAGCCCTGTTCTCAAATCGCCACGCAGCAGCAACTGCAGCATTAAGTGTAGCAGTAGTAGTGGTTCAAGTAGTAGCAGCTCTGAAGAGAATTTTGGAAGTGAGGAGGAAGTTAATTGGCATGTGCGCTCAGACCTCAGTTCAGAAGAAGAAGAAGAAGCAGCAGCAGCAGCTGAAGAAGAAGAAGCAGCTGAAGCAACAGCAGCTGAGGCAGCAGTAGAAGAAGAAGCAGCTGAAGAAGAAGGAGCGGCCGAAGAAGAAGAAGCTGAGGAAAAAACAGAGAAAGATTGTGAGGAAACGACAACGGAAGACGTTTCAAATGAAGGTGCTAATGCATAAACTTAAGAATATGGGGAGGGGGTGGGGGGGTTGGGGTTTGTATCTGCCATAAGTTTTGATGATTGACAATGCTAAATGTAATCAAGGTAATTGTTTAGTAGTTTTCTACTCATTCTATTAGTTTCTATTTGTTTATTTGTCCCTTTTCTGTTAAAGACCAAAGAAGCCTCTGGAAGGCTGCACTTACATTGTTGTGCCTGTCATTTAACCATATCATTGATTGATTTTTAATTTTTAAGATAATTGAATGTGTATCAGTCATATCTGTGCCTTTAAGTTGGTTCAATGAAAGAGGCCAGACAGGAAAGCTGCATTGCAGTTTAAGGTTACCAAGATGTCCAAATAACTCTGACCAAACTTTATCCTTCAAATTTAGAACCAAGAATGGATAAAAATAGTTTTATGCTAACCCCTATTATTATATCAATTTATATCTCATGATTTTAAAATTTCTTTAAACTTGTAAGTTTTGAGTTCATTTGGTCCGACTTCATAAACTGTGTAAGTGTGCTCAGGACATTGTCATTACCAATGATAGTTTGGAGTCTTATTAGTCAACACAATGAATCTAAACCACTGTGATATCTTTCTTCACAAGAGCCTTTAATTCAGCCATTCTCATCATTTTTAACAGTCAGTGAGGACTTTGTTTAAACCATTTTCTTGCTTTATTTTGTAATTTTTATTTTTAGTTTGTAAGTTTTCTGTACCATGAGAGGTATCTTTACTTCTGTGATTAAGTAACCCTGTAAAAGATGATAGAGTAACTAATTTTGAAACTTTATTGAAACTCAAGCTGATTTTAGGATCAGTGTCTTGGACTGTGTTGAGAGGCTAAGAATAAATTGGATGCCAAATAAATCTCATCTAAATTTGTTTTTGTTCTTTGTCTGGACACTGCCACTAGTCCTCAAATAGTGCTTAAAATCAGTGTCTTCAATTTGTTGCTCTTTTACTTATTGCATTCATTTTTTAATACTATTTCAGATTTTTATGCTCTGTTTTATAATTGTACTGTACAATTGTGTTCCATTCCAGCTCTGTAATCTGTACTTAATTTTTATTTTAAGGTGAAGAATTGCAATTGAGGTAATTGAAAGAACCTTCCTGTAAAAAGATTACACAAATGAAATATGAATGAATCAAATCAACGAGTGCGTTTATATATATTTATATATACAGTAAAACCCGGTCGGGCCGGCGTCTAAAGCACGCTAAAGGTGGGAAAATGCTGTAAACTGGTTGATTTGTATAGAAAAACTGGATTTTGGTTCGTGGAAAGCGCGGGGTGTCTCTCTGATTGTTACCGTATACATGCGAATTTAAGCCGCACCTTTTTGCCGATTTTTGGAGCCCGAAAAGTGGGTTGCGGCTTAAATTCGTGTGCGGCTTAAATACGTACCAAAAGTGCAGTTTTTTTTACCAAAATCGCCCGTTTAATAAGGGGGAGAGTATAGTTCCGTAATAAGACTGCGCTACGATCGCTGTTTTGCTGTCACGGGAGAATATTTGGAGGCTATCTCTTTAAGAGCGGTCGAACGAACGAACGAACGATCGGACGGCGGGACGCGGGTGAATATCGTTATAAAAGCTTTTACATTCGCTGCAAATTATGTTCAATGACATTTTGAAGATGGAGGAAGTAACGGAATTGCTTTCCACTACAAATACTGACTATTGTGTGCAGAGCCATACTCTCGGTGTTCAGACGCGTGAATTCGTAGACTGTCTACCCAACTCATTTAGGGCCAGTATTGGGGGGAAATATTAAATCCTGTTAATTTGTCCTTCTTTAAAATATGTCATTTCATAGATTGCAGTAAATTTAAAAGCTTTAATAAGCTCATTTACACTTGTCCCGTCGTTCGATCGTTCGTTCGTTCGTTCGACCGATCTTAAAGAGATAGCCTCTTGGGGTCAGGGAAGGAAGGGAAGTCCTTAAGGGACGGGGTGGGGGAGGGGGCGAGTCGGTTCTGACAGCAAAACAGCGAAACGTAACACAAAGGACTGCATATGAATGACCCTTGCGACCGAGTCGCGTAGATCATTCATCTGCTACCTCGGCTCTACGAGCCTAATAGGTGCGGCTTAAATTCGCATGTTAACGCTTTTTCGGCTCCAAAACTGGGGTGCGGCTTATATTCGGGTGCGGCTTGAATTCGCATGTATACGACTGGAACAGTGGAGAAAATCTAGAGGCACCAGGCCGTGAGTTAGCGAGGAGCTGCACTCACTCTTCCCTCCTGCTGTCTGGATCAGCTCCGGTTGTGCACCACAGGTGTGTGTGTTTCGTTCGGTACAAGTTTTAAAAATAACTAGTAGTTTGATGAAAACTGACGAAATTACATTTCCAGAAAAAGCTCCCATTTAACTTCTTTGGAAGTGCAGTAAGGGTTGCTGATGAAACTAAGGGTGCTAGCTCCATTTTGTTCAAAGTAATGGAAGAAAGAGAGAAAATAAAGAACTTTCCTGAATGTCTTCCTTTAATTCATTTTTCAGTGAACACAAAGCTTTCGCCAAGTCTTACAGCACAAAGATTAAGCTAGCACATCACATGTTTTTACTTTTTAAAAAATTGGAGTCTAGTAGGAAGTATTGAACACACATGTATGCCTACCTCCTGCCATGGTAGTTGTACAGAGGTATGAAAGCTCAATCTTTGTATAAAAATATATATTACAAATACCTATTTACGTCCCATCATAATGGAAACTATCTTGGTGATTCAATGAATAAAGTTCCATCTCTATTTCCTGAATCAGTCCATGGACAGATCTACCAGATAAGCATAATTTATGATGCCGTATGAATGGTACTGGTTTGTATGTACAGGTCAATTCCAACATTTAACTATTGACACTGAAATTAGAGATGAAACTGTATCCTACAAAATATTCTTACATTAGAAATTCATACATACTCTAAATTAGTTACAACTTATAAGTCCTTTTAACCCAATATACTTTAAAAGATTGACATGGGCAAGTTTCCACAATGATATCTTTTAAGTCACAAGACAACTTTTTTTATACTAAGGAAAAAAAATTCTATAGGTTTCAAAGTTGGCTTTATCACTAATACCATCTTGACAAAAGAGAACATTCAAGATGGTAACTTATGATGTTTTAGCTTTAATATCACAATATCAAATAGTACCAAGATACAGTCACCCAGTGATGGAGCATGGCTAATAATGCGGAAGAATTTCCCCTCTACATCCCACGCCACTCAGATTATCCATGAATGGGAATGCTGCACTTTCAGTCATAATTCAGTGCAAATTTCACAAGTACAAAGTATGCCAATTTTTTTTTTTTTTTAAAAGGATCATTTGGTTGCCAGGTTCTTTGGAAAACTTTCATTCCAGTCTCCACCCTACAACAAGTTGAGGAGGAAACAATCTGTTCTTCCTCACATTAAAACTGCGATATAATAAATAACCATTCTGCTTTCTCACTTTGTGTCTTATCAGGGAGAAGAACATGAAAGGGTAGATGCTAAAAGAAAAGAAAGAATGAGAAATAAGTGTAACTTGCACAAACCTATCATATGCCCCCCCTCCAAAAAAAACAACAAAAAAACAGTACACAGTGGTTTTTAGCATGCACACAAACAACATAATACCACACCGACGAGCACTTTTAAAATAAGTAACTTGATATTCTAATAAAAAGTTTCTTTGACATATTGAACAATATCATTCTTTTAGAGGATAGGCCACTATATTTAAAATTGAATGTTAAATATGGTATTGAAAATCCTGAAATAGCTGTTTCCATTAACCACTCTGCAGTTAGTGAAAAGTAATCCACTAACACAAGTGAAGAAACTAGATGAGAATTTCCAGTAAACACTTTACAAGATCTTTAAGGGATTTTAATATCCCTCTCGATAGAAAATGTCCACTACCAACTTAAGCAACACTTCATATGCCAAAATAGTCTTTGCAGAAAAAATGTGCATTTGAAGACAACTTCACAAACATATGCAAATCGACAAACCAATTCCTTAAACCAAACTAAAGGAAATAGACAGGCTAACATTTGAGCAAAACATAGTCATGCTAACTGAAGATAACAGAATGTCAGGAATAGATCAGGAGAATAAATGTAATGAGACCAAGGCTGACTTAGTAATGTCATTAGAAACAATTTCTACAAACTTGGCACTCGGCAACCTTCATAATTAATGTAGTTATTACTGTATTATTCTGAAGCTCTTTCTCAGTATAGGAATCTCAAAATGAGAAAACAAAATAATTTAAGAACTAGGGCTACTGTCACCTGTCAACAAAATTTTTACTTTCAACAAAAATTTACATCTATGACACAAGTTTATGCTTCATCAGCAATTATCAGAACAATGCTACTCACTTATAAAGATACATTATTAATTAATTAAACAAAGCCAAAATTCTTGGTTTTGATAGCAAGAAGTAGCTTTGAACGTAAAATCTGTCGGCTACTATATAATGGGACATACAGTCGGGAAATGCATGTATTAGCAGTAGGTAAGTGAGAATCATCTGCTGGACGAATGGTAACACTAGGCATTGGTTGGAATCCATCTTCAGATGCTGGCAGAGCAGGTGATCCTGTCCAAAAGTATACCTGGAAGAAAGCACAATAATAAGTCTCCAAGATAGAAAGTATGAAATGAACAGTACAGATATCCAAAATTTGTGATCATACCAAATCCTGACGTTCAGATGGGGTCATTCGCTCAACAATAGACCAAAGCCATCTTTTGAACTTGAGGTGTCGTTCGCCTGCCTCACCAGATTCATTTATGAAACTGGTGTATGATATGAGTGTAGAGACAGCGATGTCACCTACTCCATTGACTAGTAGTCTCAAATCCTCTGCTGTTAGTCCATCCAACGCACTTGTTGGTAAAACATCGAACACTCCAGTGCGAATTGCCTAAACATTAAGATAAAAAATAGATATTACTGATACATTGTTGAAATAATTCATAGTTAATTATTTAATGAAAAGTAGTAAGTTCAACTCACGTCAATTGCTTTTGCTTGAGATTTGACCATGCGATATTCTGCATACTTGCGGACATAATCATAGACATTAGAGGCTGTTACTTCAATATCTCGTCCATGAGGACTCAGCAGCTCCACTGATCCGCCTCCTTCTTCTGGTGCCAGATCAATACTATAGAAAAAAAAAAGCGGCATTACATTAATTTTCAAATTTCCAACACTCCACACTGTAAAAATAAAAGTATACAACAAACCTGAAAGTAAGATCAAGGGCAGAGAAGAAGCTGTTGCTGTTTTTATTTTCAGCATCAATGACAAGCTGGCGTAAGCTTTCATACATAAGTGGGTCAAAGAATGCCAAATCATGGAACCGTGTAGGTCTTCCCAGAATTGCTTTCAAGACGTGTCGATTTAGGAAAATTGGACAGAGCTCGTTTTGGAGTAAACAAAGACCTAACAACCTGCACAAATGAATTATATTAAAATGTTGTTCAACAAGGTCATAAACATCACAGGAATGACATAAAAATAGAAACAACTGAATTGTCACATACCTGCCAACATTCCTGAATGCGTTTAAGCGTTCAAACGAAGCTTTGCCCTGGCGCGGTGAATAGAAGCCGCGTTTACCAGGACTGTAGAACAAAGGTGCATTATCTTCGCCATCATCCAAAGGATCAGTGTCCATCATTTCAATCCCTGGCAGGAGACTGCTCTTGGGCGGCGCAGTTGGTGCCGGGATGATGGGCGTTAGAGAGCCTCCGGAGCTCACTCCGGCCGACTTCTTTCCTGAGCCGCTGCTGCCGCTGCTACCGGCAGAGCCACCAGCCGCCAGCGAGCCACTGCCACCCGCGCCTACTTGGGCTGAGCCGCTGCCGCTGCCGCCACCACTCCGTTCTGATAGGCTGAACACATCCAAATCTGCAGACATTTAGGGCATTAGGATCACAAACTACAATTTAAAAAAAATTACACATTGCAAATGGAAAGTTCTTTTTCTCACCAAGTAAGGCTTCACTTGCCATCTCTTGACCGTGATTGACAATCAAGTCAACAGCTTCTTCAACTTTTTGACGAAGAGCATCTTCACTAGCAAGTAACATCAGCAGTTGTGCTGGAGAGAGCTCCAACAACATGCCAGTTATTTTGCCAGCAAAGTTTGGTCTCAATGCTTGAACCTGGAATTTGCAATTAACCATTCATCAAACTCTAGATCAGGTTATTTTCCTAAATATAGAGATCAGATAGCAAAACTAGTCAAACCTTAGGATACAGCCTTTCACCAAGCTGTTGCTGATGCATACTGAGATGTTCATTGTGAGAACGACCATCAATAGCACCATCTGTGCTTGGGGGATAGAAAAGACGAGCATCATAGGATAGAGATCTTCGAGGTTCTCTAACCCTTTGACCGGTAGACCGCTAAAAATTAATTTAAAAAGTCAAGAAATGGAATCTTAAAATATCATAAGCCAGTGTGTGAAGAAGATGAAAGCTTACCTGCACATGTCTGCGTAAACTCTCTCTCTCACGGGTACGAATTCTTTGAAGTACATTGTACTGACTGTATCTGGCACCTACTTGAGCAGACTCCAGGTTAGGTAGTTTCTCATTTGCCAACAAAGCCTATGAATGGTAAAATAAGGTGTCATTAAGATAAAAATAACTTGTAACTGATGTAGTGATAAACATAACAAAATTCTAAAAATTCTTGGGCTAAAACCCTCCTATGGACATACCTCTGCTATAGCAGTGTAGAAACTTCGAGCAACTCCTGTGCCTTCTCCTGGCTCATCTTTGAAGGTAACCTTTACTTTATGAACAGCTAGTGGCGTTTGTTGACTTGAACTTGAACCACGGCGATGAGTTGAGTTATATTGAGTGTTGTACTGAGTATTCAACTCCTTCATGGCTTGAAGAATCAGAGCATTTCTCTCCCTCTCCATCTAAGACATTAGACATTAACATTAAAAATCTGATCTCACAGAACCTTGAGATTTATAAGAGTCAAAAGACAAATAAGTAATCCTCAAAAAAATTAAAATCAATTTAGTTTAACAACCTTAGCTAATGTTAAGTCCCGCTGCTGTGCATTGCGCAACTTTTCCATTTCTCTGCGAAACTTTGCCTCTTTCACAGCAAAGCCACCAAGTTCTGAGACCACAGATCCAGGCTCCAACCCCACATCCTCCATGAATACACGACCAAACAGATCTAAAGACAAGCGCCAGCGGCCTAAGAGGAGGTCATGAGAAACAGACTGTCCAATGGAGGGCTGTGACCTGAAAGTTTATAGTTAACATTAAACAAAGAGTCAAGATATTTAAGTACCAATAAGTGTGTTCTCAGAGATCAACAGAATTAAATTTACCTAGGAGGTTGTGACGTTTCAACAGTAACATGTGCAGATGTATCTTCGCAGTCCGTCACATTCTCAGAATGATCACCAGTAGGAATTACTAGCACATCAGGAGCATCAGATCTACTCAGGGGCTAAAAGAAAGAAAGAAAAAAGTACGAATTAACATTGGAGCCCATTCCTCTGATACCCCAGATAAAAAGTTGTAGCTTGGGGAAATGCCCCTACCATTGGGGTATCTTGATTTGAGGAAGATCCTGCTCTGACAATGACGCTCTTAATTGGGGGTACTGCCAAATTTCCCTCAGCAGACCCAGATGGTAACAAACTTTTGGAGCCCCCTGCGATGATACTAGAACCAGAGGCTTTAGAAGTAGAACCAGAATTGCTTCCATTTGTGTTTGTGTTATTGCTCAGATTGGCAGTAGCTGCAGCAATAGCAGCAGCGACTTTACGAGGTGAGACTATAATAGGAGCTCGAACAGAGGAGGCGGTAGATGTAGTAGTTGTTGGTGCTGAGGTTGCAGGCCACCTTCGACTATCTTCTCGCCATGTGGAACCTGCGCAAAAAAGCGCAAGACATCACCAGGGCTCTTGCATTTACTAGAAGTATAACTAGGAGTTCAAAGCAAAAGACAGAGGGAACTTACAGGTAGAGACCATTTCACGGATGACATGATCAAATGCATCATAACTCTTTGGAGTGGAACTATTCCCTCCGACAACTGCGTAAGTAGAGGTACTAGATCCCTGTGATCAATAGGAAAATTAAAGCAGATGACTTAGTTTTTAGTTTTTGATACCTTAATACTGGAGTAGGTGAGGAAAGGTTGACTGACCTGCTGTGAGGTTGAAGCTGGATTTGCTATCACAGAGTGCGGAAGCTGTATTGCTATATTAGACGGATTAGGAGTTGGAACATTTGATGCTGCACTTGTGTCTGCTGTCCGCACTGAAAGTCCCAAACGTGTTGGAAGCACTTCTAATGGGTTACAGCTTCCAGGAGGATTAGGACCTGTGGCAGGTACAGTGATAGGTTGTTTGGGCATGCCAAACAGTTCCTCCCTGCGGGCATTTGGTTGAAGCAAATGTGGCTGGTCAGCCAGGGGTAAGGCTTGAGCTAAAGGTGCCTCAAAGGGGTCTGGTGGAGGGCAGCCCAGGCACAACGTTGAGTCAGAGCGCTGGAAGAATGGGTGCTTTCTGCCTTTGCTCGCACCATTTGAGGGGACTTTTTCCCTCTCCCCAAGAGCATTATTGTTACCAGAGCAAGAGGATGCAAGTAGACTGCTCGCACCAACCTCTTGCTCATCAACAGAGTCAGTTTCCATAGCCACTGATTGATTGGTGTCCTCATCGCCTTCATCATTGTCATTTTCATCCTAAAACAAAAGAGTAATAGGAAATAGAAACAACTCTCACCTTCAATGTAAAGAAAAAAATAGTGGCAACAATAACAAAAAATATTTCATACTTGATCATTCCATGCCTCAAGTGGTTCTCTGATAACATCTGGGGAAACAGGACTGTCAGCACCAGACCTCATGTAATAAATCAATGCATCAAACACATAAGCAATGTGTTTCAGAGCAGATACATCAAGCACTGGAAGACTGTCTAGATGTTCAGCATTGTGTGATCGCATCAGTGATAAACAATATGAGAGGAACTCTCGCCTTGACAATAGGGGATCTAATCCTGCAGGAAGGTAGAAAATAGAAAAGTAGAATATAAATTAGATATTTTGCCAAGATAATTTGAACGTCCCTAAAATATACTCAGAAATGAAAGAACCCATACCTTCACGTTCACGTGCAGGCCGCTGAGCATCTGAAGAGAATCCCACTATGCGAGTGCTTCCAGTTGTGTTACTGGATGTGGTGGTTACTGGACGCCTTGGCTCAGTTGTAACTGGTAAGGTACTACTGCTTCCTCCTAAAAATTGATAGAAAAACGGTTAAGTTTTAGAAATTAGGATTATCCAGATGTAAAATAAGACCGGCTTCAGATCATCTTTATACCAGCAGTTGAAGAGTACAAGGGGTGGCCAGGGTGGGTAGGATCTGAAGACTGAGTAAGTGCAGCTCCAAAGCGTAACTGGGCTTCTGTTGAATCCATCACTGTGAGAAGCCAATCCCATGTAGGCTTCAGGTGATATTCCAAATAGAGCTAAACATAAAATGTTTAATGTGAATTAATATAAGAAAACATTACACAACATTTAAGCATGGGCGACAAACAAACTGAAAAACAAACCTGTAAATTAATTGATTCTTGATAAGTAATTTCCAATGTTCTTGGAAGAACTGGAGTCAGAGCATTGTAGTCCTGCAGCATTGTAAGCAAGTCAGCAATTTGGCGGATGACAATTGAGAATGCCCTTGCAAGACACGAAGCAGTAGTAGCCATGGTTTGAGGCTCATGGCTAGCAGCAGCTGCCTGCTGTGCAGCTGCCACAACGTTAGCGGCTGTAGCAGACCGCCGTAGCGTTGATGGGTCGATGAACATAACAGACGAACCACCTGTAACACGCACCCCTTGAAACACACAACAAAAGTTGTGGAGACAGGCGGGTGAATAACACAGCCAAGTCAAGACAAGCTTAAGTCAACAAGTCCTAGGAAATGATGTAAAGCAGTATCCATCACAGGCTTGAAAGTAGTTTGAGTAAGGGCTGAGAGAGATGGGGGCATTTCCAAGAAAACACAGCAGTAGTGAATCCTCCTTCCCCCACCCTCTTAATGAAGAAAAACAAACTTGAATGGACAGGAAATTAGCAAAAGCACACTTCATGAGAAATCATACCTCCAGCACGTGCATTTGAGTCACGAGTTCGGATAGCCCACTGCATTGACTGGGGGGCCAAGTTGTTCCTCTGACCATGTGGATTGTTAGTCCTGATCAGAAATAAATTAGATGAGAACAGTAAAGAAACAGCTCGAATTAATTTTTAGGAGAATAGTACATTTTTGAAGACTTACGTGCGCCTCTCTAGCTGCTCATCACTAAGTGGTAGGTCTTCTTGTGCATCCTGTTCATCACTTTCACCCGCCTCAGATTCCTCCTCCTCTTGCTGAGAAGACTCTCCAGAATCGTCTTCCGGATAAAGCATTAATGACGCCATGCCTACAAGGCGGGAAAAATTAATAGAAACAAACAATCCTCAAATGTAAGGGTGGAGTAATAATGAAGAGGTCTCTGTACCTGTGTCCGACCCTGTGGTGGCACCTGTCTGTACACTTCTCTGCTGAGATGCAGCATCTTGGTTGCTCTGATTGTCATCGCTGTCACTTTCCGTTTCGGCGAGGAGATCCAACTCTGTGTCAGATTCGGCATCAGGTGGAGCTTCATCTTGGGCTCCATTCCCGCCTTCGATTGCGTCATTGACAACAGCCTCGCTTAAAGAGCGAGACTCCCTCTCCACTTCAGCACCGCCACCCCGCCCGTCCGCATTGTCGTCACCGTCGCTGGCGTTGTCATCACCATCTTCACCACCCAACCCATCACCACCGTCCGTGTCGTCCAGGTCCATGACGCGACGGGCTCGAACAGCGCTGGCAGAGGCACCGTGCGCACTCCTTCCGTCTGCATGCCCCGAGGCGGCAGATGACAAGCCGCCCTCATCAGCGTGAGGATCAACAAAGCCTCCTCCACTCAAAGCCAGGGGCTCAACAGAAAACAGTTCTTCTGATCCCTAGAACCAGAAACAAAGAGTGAAGCTTTTTCCTTTAAAGCATATGAATAAATGAATAAATCATAAAAATTAAGAAAACAAAAAATACTTACAGCTATTACTTCAACAAATGAGCCAGACAACTGGAATGGGGCAGTTGGACGGACAACACCCAACCTTACAGGAGCTATGAGACTGTCTGCTGTCTCACAAAGTTCTTCAACAGCTAATCTTATGAGAGCTTGGAATACACGTTTGCACTTCAGAAGTGGCTCATTGGCTACAACTCGTTTCTTGCTTTTCTGTGGAGCCATTTCAATACTGAAGATAACAAATATACGGGCAACAGACCTCACAAATCGACGGGCAACACTGCGAGCATCTGTCTGCCTTCCAGGAACAGACTCATTTTGCAGCTCTCGAATTAGAGTAGTGAGGAGAATATCAAACATTTCATTGCTACATTTCACCAACAACCAGTGGGTAAATTTGTCAAGCTGTGTTGTGCCACTTTGGCTGCGTAAATATGCCTGATCCTCATATATCATTTGGGCAGAGCTAGAGCTATTACCCGTCGCAGATTCACGCATTCCAGACATAATCATGGCTCTAACAGCTGGCCAATCGTTAAGAAGTCGATCTAATGCACGACGACTGAATCGTGGTGGCTCTAAATCATGATCAGGCATGTCAACTTCAACATCTGATGATGGTGCTTTCCGGGTGGCAGAGGCCCTCTGAGGTCGGTTTCCAGCGTGGAACTGCCTCTGCTCTACCAGTTGTCGTCCAACAGTTTGAACAAGGAATAACAGGATATTTTCACCTCTTGCGTTGGGCAATTCAACCAGGTGAGTTTCTGTTACAAGTCGACAGAGGAGATAATATCTTGATGTCTGTGGACCTTGGACCAACGCTTTGCACTTGCACTTCTCCCAGCAATCACAATATGCAGTGGGATTGGTTCTCTTAATTTTGCAGTCGTGGCCTTTGTGACAAACTCTGGCACACTCAGTGCAACAACACAAGGATCCTGTCAGACCACAAGTACGACACTCAAAGATGTCCTGTTTGATGTGTTCAGCTCCAGTCCATGTGAAGCTGCAAGTGTCATTGCAGCACACAACATGAAGAGGATTGCAATCAGGATGTGAGCCAGGTGGATATACCATCTCTGCCATCAGATTCCATTTGGCAGCATCTTTCAGACTGCTAATGTCTTGTCTGCCCTCTGAGCTCTCTAGTGGCGGCTTTGAGTTAAGATCTCTTGAGAGTTTGAACCAAGATGTGTTAGAATTTTTCTCATCTGGGTTGCTTCCAGAAGGGCCAGGCACAGGAGTAGACGATGCACTTGGTGGATTAAACAAGGTATCCATTGAAACACCATTGTCTCCTGTCTGATCTTCCATCTTACAGTCCATCTGGTTATCATCGAAGGCAGCTCTCTTTTCGTCAGGAATCAAATCAGCACTTGTCTTATTTCTATTCATGCTTTGCTCTGAGGCTAATTTTGTAGCAACACTCTGGATTGTTGTAAGGAGGGTTTGAGCAGCTGGATATGCACGAGAGGTAACAGCCAACATGAAAGGGGTTTGGCCAGTAGCATCCCTATAATTAAAAATGAGGATGAATGTTAACAAATACGGAAATGGATATACAGAAAAGTGAAGTATAAACAATAAATATCAATAAACTTGGATCTTACTTAGCACTTAAAAGTTCATGAAGGTGTGGTTGAAGAGCACGGCTTCCAGTCAAAATATTCAGAGCTTGCAAGGCTGCATTGCGTCTCTCTACAGGGTTTAAAACTGCACCTGATCCAATTGAAGTTCCCATGTTCCCTGCATTGCTGCTGTTGCCTGAGCGCCCAGGTCCCATCAAACTATCTTCATCACCAGAACCAGCAATCTCAAACGTCTCTTGCCATGACAGGGATGGGGGAATAGTATCATCCACTGAGTTTTGACCAACTGCTGAAAGGAAAATTATTTCATTATACTGTACATGCAACATTTATTACATTAAAACTATCACCATTTGTGTTTTGATAAATGATACTTCCACCAAATAATGTTACAGAGTTATGAAAAATTCAACCAAAAAATTGAACACTTACACTCAGCAGTTTCAGAACGAACAGCTCTCCTCATCATGTCTCTTAATGTTACAGGTGTGCTGCTAATGACATTTATGGCATTGTCGAGTGCTCCATTACTTGAGCTTCCACCAGCACAGCTACTTCCACCATTTGCAGGACCACTATTGCTTGAACCACTTGGGCCAGCAGGTGATGCAGTGGCTGCAGCTGGTGTTCCTGTAGTTGAAGTGCCAGTTTCTGCTGTGTTCTCTCCAGATGGATCTTTGTTGGATGTAGGGGCACACTGAGACACACATGCATGGAAAATGTTCCTATTTCCATCACATCGTTCCTTTAAAATATTACTCAACATCACACTGTTGGTCACACCCAACTTGGCTTCAGAGTCCAAGGAATTTAGAACTTGCTTAATGCCTTCAATGTCACATCGCAGCACTTTAGACATAAGGATCTGAGATTCTAAAGCTAGAACAAGAAGCGCAACTTGGTTCTTCAAATTAGTGCTAGCAGCGACTGCCGTCAGAGCATGTATTCCAGTGCCAATGCAGCGAATGGGGGGAAGATCCAGCCAATGAGGATCCCTTATAGCTTCCACACAGTCCTTCGCAAGAGGACAAATTGCACTATTACCATCCCTCAAGAGGAGGACACTCTGCCCACTTTCTCCTGTACTAGTCAGGTTAACAGCATGAGCGTCTAAACCCAAGAAAGCAGCTGTATCACATGGAAATGGACTGTCCTGCTCAATACGACCAGTGCTAACATTATAAAGAACATAGCTCAATTTAGTCCCAGTTTTGACGATTGCATGAATTCCTTGGCCATCTACAGCAATAGTGAGAACTTGCCCACCACTTTCTGGAATGTTCACTCGACGAGGTGTTCTTTGAAAGCAATCTGGAACTCTAGATGTGGCTGTTGATTTTACAACTTGCAAGTCATCCTTTCGCATTAAACGGCACTCTTGAAGTACACTCATCATGTCATCCAAACCAGCAGCGCCTGCATCTTTAGGGCCATCTTTGTTAACAATGCTAGATGCTGCAGATTCTTTAGAACCCGTAAAGCGCACAGCCGCATACTGCCCATCGACTTTGAGAACTCTTCCAATGGGCATACTTTTAACATCCTCCACAAAGATCACATCCTAAAATAAAAAAAAACAAGAAAGAGTTAAGAATACAATATCAATGGACAAAATCTTTGTTTGTATGATTAATATAGAAGTTCAAAAAGTGCTCACTTTGAGGGGCCATTCTTCTTCATCTTTCTTTTCACCATCATCCCCTTTGGGTGCAGGACGTTTTTGCCTTTTGATGCTTGATGTATTGCTTGGTGTGTCACTGCAAGTGCTGGATGCAGGAGAGGGAGGGGGAGGCATATCAAGGCGGTCTGCAGTTTCCTTGTGTGTAATTTTGCTTGAAGAGCCTGTTCCAGGGAGAGCACAAATTAGTACTTTAGTTTAGATTATTTACACAAGTTTTAAAAAGAAGCATATTAGGACTCCAAAGGGTTCAGACCTGAGTTGCTTGCACAACCACTACCACTATTGCTACCACTGCCTATGCCACTGTCGCGAGCCCGGCCATGAAGCTGCTCTAGAGTAACTCCACTGTTGGATGGAGTGGGGGATGGAGGGAGCAGTTTAAACCGACAGACATCAGTCAAATTCCAAGCTGAATTTTGAAGAATGCCCACTTTAGGCACACCATTGGAGATGGTAAAACCTGAAACAATGGATGTTTTAATTAGTTCCTTTTGGTCAGAACTAAAGAGAAAGTTCAAGTATTTTGAGACAGAACAACATGCTGACAAATAATTAGTTCCTTACCAATTGCTCCTGCCTGGTACATGGGGCTTATTTTCATGCAAACTTGACTTCCGGACACAATTTCAGCAGATAATGTTGTAGAAGGGCGATGTTTGCGTGATTTAGCCCTGTATTTCTCCCAAAGACGCTTCCTTTGACTGAATGGTAATATGCCCCACCAGTACATTGCTCCACTTTCAAGTCTGGCAACTGGAAAAGATGATAAAATTTTAATAAATAGAATTTCTTCAACGGAAATGACACTTGGTGTTGCCTAATTAAAGATAACAATGTACCTGTGTACAGTATGCAGGTGTGCAAAGACACAATGTCATCCAACTGAAACTCAGTAAAACTTTGGGCTGGGTGTTCTAAGCGCCCAGCAGCATGTTGCAGAGTTTCATCCATCCATGTAGCTACACGTCCACTTTCTGTGGCCACAGAGCATCTTATTGCAGAAGCTGATATGTGTAGAATTTTTTCATTTAATAGCCCAAGCGGGATTGTTTTAGGGTGGTGAACCGATGGATTCTCAGGGTGTCTGTAAGGTTCTACATCACCCCACCGCCACTGGTACAGTTGCCCAGTGCATGAAAGGGCTATAAGCTCACTATGTAGTCCAACAATATTTACAAATTTTGGCAGTGGCTCCAGTGGTGACCTATCTGGCCAATATTCCAACTCATCAGATATCCAAAGGGGACTTTGTTGGGCTAGCTCTTTCTTTTTGCTCTCTATAAAATAAAAAAAATAATTGAATTTTCATGAGCACTTGATCTTGTTTAGAGTGTAACACAATAAAACCTATTTTTTTTACCTTGATCCCTGTCCCAAGCAGAGGAATCCCTTAGAGCTGATTCTAACCATCTTCGAGGGCCAAAGTACTGTCTGTCCCTCCATCTAGAAAAGCTATCGCGGTCGCGGTCTCTATCTCCTTCCCTTTCCCTATCTCTATCTCTCTCTGACGAGCTCACATTTGATGTTAGTCGGCGAGCCGCAGTACCAGGTCTTGAGCTACAAAACAAAAAAAAGGGCAGAATTCAAAAATTGCACAGACCAAAACTACTGTACAGTAAAAATACAAGCTTACGGTGATAACATTAAGTTACAAGACCACCTACTTGCGAATAGCTGAATAGCCAAACATATCTTCAGAGAACATAGTGTCAGCATCAATAATAACAGAATGATCTGTGTGAAAATTTCCATCAAGTAGAGAAATGAGGTCTTCTGGCACATAAGAATCCTGTGCGTCATCTCCATCATCAGCTTCTTCATCATCTCTTGAAAGAAGATTATTTACTGCAAGATTCACATCCAGGTTGGTGCGCTAATGATAAAAAGAAAACAAGCACAAATAAGTGACAGAATGGACTACCAAACAAGAATAATATTGTATCTTGGATAAAATTGGTAAAGTACCTGAAGCTCTCTTATAATAAGGTTCCTACTTTTCCCTTGCAGTACCACCTGTGCTTGAGACACTAGTTCTTCCGGGACATATGGAACAACAAGTGGACGAGTGCTGGAGCCAGAGCCACCAGAGCTACTGGCACCAATTATCACACCTGCGGCACCTCTAGTCCCGGCTGTAGCACGCAATGCAGCACTAGATCGCATGAGGCGCGCTCTAGTGCGGTGTATTTGGCGACCAGCTCCTCCACCTCCACCACCACTAGGTCGACTGCTGTAAAATATAGATTTTCAATATAGAGCTGGGGTATAGTTTACTGGAGCTCAGATATCATGTTTTGTTTATATGACTCACTTCTTGTTGGGATCATTTTTGCTAAGGTCTAATCTGTCAGATATTATTGAAAATGAAAGTCTGCATATCCGTCCATCTTCTAATAGGAGGGCTAAATGTGATGGCCCTACAACAATTTGCTTCACAGGAACTTTAAGTCCACTTAAGGCAGCCGGGTTGGAGTGACCAAACCTATTCAACTTGTCAGACACTTCCTTCAGCCTAGAGATAAAATGATTTAACAGTTTGTTAGACAACAAAATCATAAGAAAAGGTTATATTATACTACAGTAAAATGACAATAATAAGGATACATAAGAGGACTGGAAAATAGAGAAGAGATACTAGTTTGGAGCATCAGTCACTCATTTGAATGAAATTATACTAGCCAAGTACTGGAAAACATTGGGGTTCCAAAAGGGAACTAATGGGAAAGAGGAAGAGGTAAATGGAGAAAATTTGAAAACAATAGAAAGTAAATGTTTAAAAAAATAAGATATAGTTAAGGCGCTTAGCAAATGTGACACATAAGTATCTGAAGCAAAAGTTCAAAAACCTTAACCTCTAAGAAAACACCGAGTTGAATGAAAATGAAAACTTTATTCGTTCAAGATACAAGAAAACAAAGCATGTTGCTGCAGAAATGTGTGTCAGAACTGGAGGGAGTGTAATGGGAAAGTTTAAGAAGGAAAAGGTACAGTGGAAATAAAATAGGCTTAAAGTGGGCTGGCCAAGGACTGAGCATCTCCTGTGTCGCGTAGGCCTTAACTCACCGATCATTTAGCTGATCTTCCGTGCCTGGAAGTGGGTGGACAACAAAATGAAGGGAGGACATTATCCCCCCTTTCAAATAAACGTCCTTTCCTGGATAAGAATCTTTTCTAGAACACTTGAATTACGAAAGGAATTCGTCCAATAACCCAATCGCCATGTTTTCAAGACAATGACGACATGAACCTGATGACATGTGAAGCCGACGGAGGAACATACCCCATACTCGACGTCAACGCCCCCTTTTGGAAGTAAAATGAAACAGAGCGGAGAATTAATTTGCAGTGGAACGTACCCCTTTCCTGAAATAGCCAAGTGCGCGCCAATTTTGAAATCGTGACGCAAAAGTAAAAATCATTGTATTTAAACAACCATCCTCCAAGATACTACGCCACAACCACCTTTCGTCAGGACTAGCTAACAGTGTCCACTTTGTGCGTGCTGTTATGCCCGAACCGACGTGAGAGAGGTGAGGCTCGATATAACACTTATGGTGTAGAATGGGCTGCCTAACCTACAGGCGCACTACGGTTGTCTCGGTCGTCTCGGTTGGTTCGTCAGCAACGGGCACCTACGCCTCAATGAACTATTTTCGCAATATTGCGCAATTTAGAGATCAGAATATAATTTCTGTGGAGATCTCGTTGAAACAATAGCCTTCAAGAATGTGTCATCAGAAGCTGCACACACGTCCATATAATATACTGCTGGAATAATTAAGGAAACAGCCGAGCCAAAACACCCCTCTTTCATCTTCTTTTCTGATTATCGCTATATTTCATGTTGACTGGGTTTCTTTGACCACACCTCTTCTTTTGGACAATCCAGTGCTATACGGTAAGGAAAACAAATAAACGAATTGGGAATGAAACATCTGGTGGAGGGAGAAAAAATATTCCACTTTGGAACTTGTTCTTGCCCGGTCAAGGCTACGTTCTGTCTGCGATGGAGATAGCGACCGGCCGGGCCAAAGCCTATACGTAATCAGTTGTCTTCAAAGACGCGTTGACTGACCAGCTCGCCGCTGCCATGCCTTACGTCCTAGTTACAACGCAAATTAGGCTTGTAAGTGCTGGGGTCATAACTGTCGACTAGCAGTTGGTTGAGGTTATGTTTATGGGTAGCCGGTGCTGGAATATACGACATTGTTCGCTTCATGGCGGATGTCATGCGTTGTTCATCCCCTCGTGAATGCCCTCTTGAGACCTTTGACATTGGGTGGCCCTCTGGAACAGCATTATCTATTAGTTCTCTTAGTTTAGTGGTGCCAAGATAGATGACAGATGATCCCCCTTTCTCCATATAGTATGTGTGTCATTATTACTAATGAGAATGTTGTGCTATTATTATTATTTTATTGTCTTCTGTGTACAGGAGAATGGACCAACTTATGTTGGAGATGAATATTCTGATCCAGAATTGATGCAGTACTTATGTGCCAACAAAATTACAGAACCAGGGAACAACTTGTAAGTGCGATTCAGCTCTCTGAACTTTTTTGATGTTAGTGCATTTTAGAAAAGTCATATTTTTGACCTAACAATGTAATATAATCATTTAATTTCAGCTCAACGTACTTGACTGACCTAAATCCTCGACGTGTCTTGGATTTACTTGAGAAGCGTGGTTTTCGGCTTGTTGGAATGAGTGGTATGGGTCAAACATGTGTTTGGACCATGTGGAAAGCCATCAGTTCTGCTAGTGATGATGAATCTGACAAGTAAAACTTGTAGTCTTATTCATTCATAAGCATTTTTATAATTCCAAGGAGTTTTTCTAAAACTAAATTTACAGATCAGACAGACATTTCTAATTCTTTTTTAAATAGCTTTCCTGTGACTCTCTTAACAACCTTTTTGCATGGTCTAAAACAAATTCTGAACCATCTTTGTCTGATGGCGAAGGTTCATATCATCAATGTGGCTGTTTTGGACAACCCATCAGCCTTTTTTAATCCATTCCAGTTTGAAATAACTTTTGAATGTGTGGAAGACTTGCAGGTTTGCTAATTTAAAAAAATAAAATATGTTGCAGTTGGAGATATATTGTTTAAAAAATAACTAATAATCCTACTTGTTTGAAATAGGAGGACCTAGAATGGAGGATAATTTATGTAGGCTCTGCTGAAAGTGAAGAATACGACCAAGTGTTGGATACGGTATATGTAGGTCCAGTACCAGAGGGTAGGCATATGTTTGTGTTTCAAGCAGATGCCCCTGATCCAACTAAAATTCCAGTTGGTGATGTAGTTGGTGTAACTGTTTTGCTCCTTACCTGCTCATACAGGTATATGTGTAACATTTTACACTTTCTCTTTTATGAAAATCAGAAGTGATCCTATGCCTTATATAATGGTACGGCTGTTTCAGGAGTCAAGAGTTTATACGTGTTGGATATTACATCAATAATGATTATATTGACCCTGAGTTGCGGGAAACGCCCCCTGCCCTCCCTCAATTTGATAAACTTCAACGCAATATACTGGCCTCAAATCCAAGAGTCACTAGGTTTATGGTAATTTTTAATTTGAAATGACAGTCTTGTAAATTCTAAAGAATTCCACATTTTTTGCATTACTATTTTTTTAAAATTGCAGATTAATTGGGATGATGGTCAAAACAAGCCAGGAGAAAATAAAAATAATGGCATAGAGACAATGTCTGATGAAGCATCATCATCCAATCATGTTCAGGCCAATGGTAATGGCATAGAACCAGCACAGTGAAATCTCGGGCTTCTTTAGTCCCTTGTTCTGTTTATCCCATATTTTGAATTAGGCTGTTTTTAATTCAAGCCTGTTTTGGAAGATTTTTTTTCTTCCTGACATTGAGAAAGTGGATTGTGATATTTTGATCAGTGCCTTCTTTCGACTATTGAGGAAACAATTGTGCTGTGATCAGATTTCTGAATTTAAATTTGTCATTTTTATGATACTATTTCTTTTTAATTTGTGATATGTCTCAAATGGACTTGCCAGAAAAGCCAGAGAGGCCCCTTCCTTCAGATTGTTGTAATAGTGGGTGCACTCCATGTATACTTGATGTTTATGAAGATCTTGTGAAGCAGTGGCAAGAAAAGTGTGAGCTCATAAAATCTGGTGTGTCTGTCTCTGAAGAGGAAACTTTAGAGCATCCTCCAATTTTATCACAGACAAGATATGCAACATTTAAAGTTGTCTCAATAAAACCTGTGACAGATGACACACATTTATATTCTTTACAAGCTGTAGAAAAAGTAGCTTCAGAAACTATTTATAAAGACCTGAAGTTTAAATTGGACTTCCAGCCCTCTCAATATTTTGTGTTGCAAGCCAGGGATGGTGAAAAGCATTTTACCAGGGCTTATACTCCAATATCTGATTGTAAACTTTCCCTTAAAGGATGCTTTGATGTAGTAATTAAGATTTATCCTGATGGCAAAATGTCAAAGTACTTAAAAAATTTATTACTTGGTGACATTACTTATTGGCGTGGGCCTTATGGTGGATTTAGTTATAAACCAAATACTTTTAACAAGCTGCTCATGCTGTGTGCTGGTACTGGTATAGCGCCTTTGTATTCACTTGCTCAGAGTATTGTAAGCAATGAAATAGATGAGACAATCATTAGGATGTTATACTGCTGTAAAGATGTCAGTTCCATAATTTTGAGAAATGAAATTCATTCTCTTTGTTCATTTTGGAATTTTAGTGCAGATATTTATGTACCTTACAGTAAAGCATCAGAATTTAAATCATTATATGGAGAGACTTTAAAGACTGTACGTTTAAGCCAGAATGAAATTGCGGTGGAGTTAAATCAGAAGACTCTTCGGGAGACAATGATTTTTATTTGTGGAAATACCCAGTTCTGTCAAGACATGGATATGTTTGTCAAAAACTGTAATGCAGACCCCAAGCAAATTCACATATTTTAAACAGTAAATATGATTTTTCATGTAGCCATTAAAACGTATGATCTGTAAATCAATTTGTATTTTATTGCCAGGACAATAGTAAGTGATTTGATCCTTATATATTTTTAAGCATGTGGACAAGGACACTTAATTGCCTGAAAAAAATAAAAACAAATATAATAATCATTTTAGCAAGATTGTAGGAAAACTGAGTAAAAAGAAAACTACTTACTGATTCACAGTTCGGACAAGGGCCACTAACATGCCCATGAACTAGTCTACTGTCAGGCAAACCCTCAAGCCACTAAAAATAATAATTGGGCAACATATAGAATTTTAGAGTAATAGGTATTGTAATACTAAGATTAGTGTTCTTTTGAAAATGTTTGAATATGCACTGTACCTCATACAAACAAGCAGCATGGAAATTTGATAAACATTTTCCACACGATTCTACAGGCAACTTTCCTTCCTCATCTTGAACAGTATAGCAAATGCTACATTCTCCTGTCTCAACAGTCTGAGATACCTTGCTCGTTTCAGGTGGTGGTGGCTGGGGTAAGCTAGGCAACTGTAATACTGAGCAAAGATTTTCCAATATACTGCATTCTTCATCCCATTCCTGAAATCAATACAAAATATATACTCAAGTTCTACATTTCTTAAAAATGAATAAATTCTTTATTCGTTATAATTTAATTCACCCCTAAATGTTCTTCATGAATGCACCTAAATTTATCTATTTCTGCATCGGCTCCTTGAAATTTGATGTCTGGAGGTTCACCAGGCTTCATCGGATCCCATGACAACTGTGCCATAACACTAGGTGGAGCTTAATTCAGTGGTAAAACATTAGTTCAAATCATACTCTACAATAATTTGGGGTCCTACGGTGCTCCCCGACATTTTCACTATTTTACACACTCACAAATAAATATTCGTCTATACATGTCTGCTTTCCTCGGATGTGTTGGGTCTATCACCCAACATTGCTGATCAAAAAGGGACAAAGAGCTCCAAATTCTATTGAGTATTTTTATTTGGTCACAGAACACTCTAAATGCTCTAGAAATGCTGTTTTCCTAAGAACATGCCAAATTTTTCGTTAGTCACTAGTTGTCAATGTAATACTTGCAAAATGTATGTAACCTCTTTGACAAACCTTTTGAATAATTTTGATAACAGCCTCTGGCATATCTGTATCTACAACTTCAAAACTGTTTCCTACTGTAGTATCATGAGTTTGATCATTATTAAATTTTATGTTCAACAGGTGCACTTCTCCATTACAATCATATGTACTAAGTGACACAGTTCTAAAGTCACTACCAATGGAAACTAGATTATCTGTTCCCAGCTCATTCAGTTCAGTAAGTATGGAGGTGTAATGATTCAAATGGTCCAATAATTGTCCATCATTGGAGATGGTTTCTCTTCCCAGGGTAAGGTGTGAACCTTCCCCTCTATCCAGACAGTCAATCTAAATTGAAAAAGAAATATAAAGAAACCACCATTTTAAGAGGAAGCTAAAATAAAATTAACAACAGAGAACTTTAAGGATTCAAGAAAATACGTACAATCATTGAATGCAGCTTATCAAGAAACTTGTTGAAAAATAGTCCACTGCTGCTCCACTTAAATGCAAAGGGTTGTGCAAATTTTAAATTATTTGTTTACAATATAAATTTTTCATTAAACGATTATTAACTTACTCGAACAACAGTGTTTTTATGTTTCTGCAACAGCTCTGATAAATCCCAATCACAATTAAATGATAACTCTTTAGAACTTGGGTAATTAGGAACGTGAAATGATATGTGAAATGAGAAACCCTGGCAGGATGAAAAATTATTAGGAAACTGTTGAAAGCAAGATATGTATCTAAAATAAGGCTCGAACTATCTACTAACTTACCTTAACTTCCAAAAACCCTTCATAATACGAAAAATTTGCATTTCTGGGCACTAACAACGGGAATCGGCTCAGTATGTCTAACTGAATTTCAGAGGTACTAGCTGTTGACATTGTTGCCGAACAAAAGGATATACTCTTCTTGTGGCCTCAATATAAAATGTTGTCTGCAATGCAATAGGTTAAGTTCACCATTTGACAGAATTCACGGCGCGGTTTTGGCGCAAGGCTGCCAATTGCTCCGCATCGCAACACAGAGAAATATCTTTAATGCTTCAATCACGAGAAATAATCTTTCAACTAATGTCGCTCCAGTCACTGAGCGGCTTTAAAATAAGCGCGGAGATGCGGCCGTGCCACAACCGGTGGCTTGTTGATGTTGGGGGCAGCCGCCGGGCAGGTAGGCAACCCGATCCTCGACGGACACGGCTGCATTGCGGGTGGGTCTACCCGCGGACGGTACGGGGCGAACAGCTGGAGGGGAGGCGCCGGAACTTTAGACAGGGTGCAGCGGGGCAGCAAAATAACTCCTCCCTAAGTCGATTGCGAAACCGGAGCCGCTGCTGCAGAGCTGTCAGACAAACGGCTGCGGGTACTTCTCTCTGCTCGCAGACCAGCTGATTGGCGGACTGTCTGAGCAGCCCCAGCAAGACTCGCTGCTGACCGTGTCTGCTCGAATGCCGTGTCTGCTGTCTATAACGGCCAGTTGGAGGGGAGGGAGGGAGCGGGGGGTCAGAGAGGGAAGTGCAGCAGAGTGAAGGGGCCCGGGGGCCCCGGGGAGCTCGGCGGCGGAGGGAGGGGCGCCAGTCAGCTGTGCGCCGCGGCGGCGTTCGGGCGTGCTGTTGCTGCCGAGCGCGAGAGAGCAGAGAGAGAGCCACGCGACTCGCCGACGTGCAGCAGAGTGTGCGGTGCGCATCTGTGAGTTCGAGTCCGAGCGCGTGCTAACCGAGAGAGTTGACGACCGTCCTTTATTGTGATTGTACGCCCCGAGGGACGCCGAGCAGGGCAACAACAAGGTATGCTCGGCTAGCTCGTGGGAGACGCGGCGGCCGCCGGTGACCGAGCGGGGGTGGCGCCGAAGGCACCCGATTCCGACTTGGCACCGCGTCCGACAAAGTGTTCGCGTTCGCGCGCGCCGGCGGCGGCCTCGGGCGAGGAGGCGGGTGGGTTGTGTTGAATGGGCACGCACACACGCACTCGAGTCCTCGCGTGGATCACACGCAGGACCAACGAAAAGACAGCCACGATGCCCACAGACATATTTATTTCCACTTTTCTCCTCTGTTCCCTGGGATGCCTTTACTCAGTGCCGTGTCGCGGTCCGCATGGCGGCGCCGCCGCCGACCGCTACTGCAGCTGTACTTTATCTCTTTTGTCGGTCAGCCGCAGCGATCGCCGAATCAGGAGTACTGATTTGGAAAGGGGGGAGGGATTTTCTCACAACTCCATTATTGATGACATTCAAAAGCAAATCAACTATACCATCCATTAGGTACCGGGCCTCGCGGGTCGTCAAGTCAAAGTCATGTACTACTTTAGAGCCAAGCCTAGAGGGTCCGCGATGCAACTATTACTACCCCACCCTGGCGAAGATGACCCGAGTGTGCGTTTTGCTTCTCGGATAATGACTTTTAGCACCGAGCATGACTGGCAATGCCCACCTGATGATGGCGGGTTGGACGTTGTGCTGTAACCCGGGCGCTACGCTGCGAGGGCCCGCCGACCGGTCGGGCAGGGCCTCGTCTACGCCAACCAGCGCCCTGCATGGCTGGCTGCCTGCCGCTTTCTCCTCTCCCTCTCCCCCTCTCTCTGCCCCGACGCCCCTCTCTCTCTTCCTCCCCCCCCTCCAGAACCACCCTGCCGCTCCCTCGCACGCCCTCTCCTTTCTCTGTGTGAGCCCGGCCCTTTCTGTCCTGCAGGCTGCCCGCCCCCCGCCCTGCTTCACCCCTCTCCGGAACATCATTCCCCTCTTAACCACCTCTCTCTACTCCCCCCTCTCTCTCTCTCCAGCGCCACCGCCGGCCCCGCCCCGCATAGCTAGCCCAACGACAACGACCTGCCGGCAGCAAGGGTACCGGAGTACCGGCCCCGGCGCGCCGCGCGGGTACCCGGGCACCGGGCGACCGGGTACCGGTGCTTGCTGCAGCGGCGGCGGCGCGAACGGCAAGGACACGTTCGGACGTTCGGTTCGCGAGGGGGAAAAAAATGGCATAGTTTCTCTCTCTCTTCCGCCCTACCCCCTCTCTCCGCCTCTCCCCCCCCGAACTGTGACGGTGACATCGCGAGGTACCACAGCTCGCTCAGCTCACGCGGCTTGGACATATATTTCAGGCGAAATCGCGACTGCCATTGGAGTGTAAATTCCTGATCACTCTGTGTGTGACGGTTGATGGTCTTGACTTGGCGTGTCGAGCTCTCGACTGAGTCGCTCCTCATGATGTGGTTCGCACGGCCACTCGGAGCAGCAGCCTTTGGGTCGTTTGTGAATGAGTCGAGTGTTGCTCGGTCCAGTGCCAGTGCGGGGGTTACTCGCGCCAGTATGGTGGAGTGCGGCGTGTACACAGGAGCCTCGTTCTGCGGCCCGGCGGCGTGTGGGTCGAGTTGTCATTCTCGCGACGCTTTGCGTGGTCATCAACATCTGAGCTGTGCCTCGGCGGGGCAGCACGTCGGGGCGTGAGGACGCAGTGATGTGAGGCTACTGCTGGCGCTCCGCCCAGACAGCCCCCCCCCCCTTTTCCGTCATTTGAGACAATGTTTCCGTCACGAAACATCAGCTCTTCCCACTGTGTCACACGCAAACAATTTCCAAACTTTTGATTTTCTTCCTGACCCGACCTCCACACAGTTTCTTTTCCGGTTTTAAACCGATCTTCCCCCAGTTTCCACGACCTTTCCAATTATTTGTATTTCTTTTTTACACCGAG